ATATATTTATTTTAGAGTTCGAATTCCGCGTGACTCCGAATCATCCTTAATTTATGGACATGAGTGTAATTTGGGACAGAGGAAGTATATGATTCATTGTGAATTAATGTCATAAATGTTATTATTATTATATGCTGCAGGTGATACTGAAATACTTGGCATTCATCACTAACAAGCTTAACATTTTATATGAAATTCATTGTGATTAATGTCGTTATTATATACTTTCGGTGATACTGAAATACTTGGCATTCATCACTAACAAGCTTAAAATTTTATATGAAATTCATTGTGATTAACGTCGTTATTATATACTGTCGGTGATAATGAAATACTTGGTATTATTTTGAATATCTGTAGTGTTGCGATTACTCTTCAGAGCTCTAAATTTGCATTATTTAAAATTTTATTTTTTAATATTTCCTACAAAAGTATTTTGTATTAATGAAAAAATCATCAGTAAATAAAAGCAAATATCTCTTTTAGAAATACTTTCTTTCTCTTATGCATTAACAAATTTTAGATCATCATTTATTAACTTCTTAATTACATATTTAATAATGGCTCCAAATTATTTTGTTGCACAGGACAACTGATATTAATACGATGAAAATTTTGCGCTGAAATAGTTTATGATCTGAAGCTACCTGCTAACTTCGAACTATATAAATAATTTAAAATTAAAACATGTGCTCTAACTTATCCTTAAATTAGAATAGGCAACTCAAATAAGTACAATTAAAATAGCGTATATCTAGATGCAAGCTGGAATTAAAATCAGATTCAAGTAGCTGACGGTTATAAACGAAAAAAAAAAAGGACGTAACTTGAAATTTCAAGATTTCTTTCTAAAAAAAATATTTTTATTAAAAGGAAATTTATAATTTCTAACTACTAGAGATTAATCATTTCTAAATTTTGCATATAACAAGACCATTATTTGTCAGGGGTACCATTCTGCTCATTGTTACTATCGCAAAACATAGCGGAATAGTTGCGCCCTCTTGCGGTCAGTAGAAATTTCATGAAGGTCACCGAAAACACAAAAGAATATTTTCACACTGGCAGGCCTTGAGTATAAGTTGGCCTTGGTCATGAGCATCACCTATTAGCCCAGCCGAGCACGTGACCTCATCTGCAGTTCCGATAGGCCGCACCATGCTTTCCGTCTGCGACGTAAGTGCAGCCGGCTTCTCGGGGATCTCAGTAGATGGTGCCACATTATAGTGGCTACTGGCAGCTACTTTAGATGGGTTTGAAGATGGGGTTTAATCCTAGTATCCGATGCACACGGGATTTGGCTACTTTTGGCGACTTTATGATGAGCAATAAAAACCGGACATTGCGATGAGTAGTTAACGGGTCATTCAAAGAAAATATATAGTTAAACATAGTATATACAATGTATATAGTATATATGCTATGTATATACACACATAGTATATAGTGTATAGTATATATATATATATAGACGTTCTTTGGATCATTTTTGGTGTTGGCGATAATTTTCAAAGTCGCACCAAGGCTGCACCGTATACTAGGATTTTACCGAGATGGGATTTCATTCGGTTTTTATGAATCATCAGTTTATGCAGTCCTCGGTTTCATCCTACATTTTACTGCAATATCACCTTGAGTAGTGGAGTGAGTAATCAGTTCAGTGTCATAGGTATAAGCTTTTTCGGGAGGAAGCTGAGTTAGCACATGGTTTGGTTTTTCAATTCCAATTTGTCTGATTTTTCAGGACTGAGCGGCCGTTTAACACTGGCTGGGTGTAATCCATTCCATGCTTGATTCCACATCGTTAGAATGGGTAGACTCAGCTTGAGAGGCGTCCGGATGGCAAGATGAAGAGGTGGTAAGGCTTACTGGGACTCGAGCTTCTCCGGCCAAGTCTCGTTCCGTGTTATGAATTATATCCATAAATCTGTTCAGGAATGCCAATTCAACTTGCTCACAGGGAGTCATGCTACCATTCCTGGAAGTCAGTGTATGAAAGCGATCCGCAATTTGCTGAATAATTGACATTTTCCAGATCAAGTCAAATCCAAGTATAGAAACTCAGAAGCTAGGCAAAAAGTAGGGCACGCAAGGACATTTTACAGTCCCCAGAACACGAGGTTCAAAGGGAATAAACCTTCTATAAGTGCCAACGAGTGCAGAACTAAGCGAGGAGCTAGCAGAGTAGCGGCAATCAAGAGCGAGGGGAAAGAGACAGTAGTGTATACGATGGACGAATCACATCTTGCCTATACATCACATGGGAAATATCCATCAGTCGGAAAGCGAAATAGCAAATGTAATGGCTAGCGAACTAGAAAAATATTTTAACGGCTTCCATGATTATCCCGAGTTACCTCGGTTTCGTATATATTGCAGTTAATTAGTATCCCGAAAAAACTCGGGCGAAGCAGAATTTGTTAGTACGATTTCTTTTATCACGGTTTTACTAAGTCTGGAGGAAACGAAAGGAAATATTCAGCCTTCATTGGCAGTTGGCAGTTTGCCAAATTTTGTTGGCTGCGCGGTTCTTTTGGAGGGACTTGTCGCGTGATTCCCAATTGTATAGTATACGTTGGCTTGTGGATTAGTAATGTATAAAGAATGGATACATGCATGCGTTGGAAAAAAAATAAAATAATGGCGATGAATGGAAGATAGCGAAAGCGATGATTTTTCAGATAGTTGATTATGAAGAGTTGGGGGAAAAAATATTTAAAAAAATCAAATCCAACGGAGACAGTGCACTCTGTGCTCTCCGTGAAAGAGATTCCAGCGGTAAGTCAGTAAGAAAAGAGACCATATACCAGTGTAGAATGTCAGGTATCACTCTGTGGGTTGTCCCTTGTTTCAAAAACTATCATACAAAGATTAATATTTAACTTTTTTCGTTTGCCCGAGATAACTTGGGAATAGTAAACTAATATTAAAAATAAATGCTTTTACACCTTCAAAAAATTAAAAATTCAACTTAAAACCTACATAGTTTGATTTGTTTCGTTTTGTTGTATTTAATAATAAAATAAAAAAATGTGATAATTTTTTGCAATTTGGCTCTGATCAAGAAAGATGAATTCAGTTCCCAGTCGTCTCAATCAAAAATAGTCCACTAACAAATTTTATAGCTCCCACCTCCCCAAGAGAGATTCGGCAAATTATTAAGAAATTGAAAATCCGCAAAGCCAAAGGGTCTGATGATATAAGTAATGAAGCTATTAAAGCAGTCGCCAGAAGAACAGTAGTTCAATTAGTTAACATCTGCAACGCTTGTATTAAGAACTGTCACTTCCCACAACAGTAGAAGCAAAGTATGATGATTACCTTACCTAAACCAGGCAAAGATCCTAAATTAGTATCAAGTTATAGACCTATAAGCCTATTGCCGGCTCTGGGAAAAGTTTTTCAAAGGGTGTTAAAAAACAAACTTACTGCTCATCTAGAAAGACTCGACTTAATTGATGAAGCTCAGTTTGGATTTAGAAGCGGGCATAGTAACACCCATCAAGTTTTAAATTTAGTAGAACTTGTTGCAAGCAATTTCCAAAAGAAAACAGCAGTCGCCGTGTGCTTCCTCGATTTGGAAAAAGCTTTCGATCGAGTGTGGTACGCAGGAATTTTTCACAAACTCAGCAATTTCCTGCTCCCCACAAATTTTGTTCACCTAATAATTTCTTACTTAAAGCGAAGAACATTCCAAGTTAGATGTGGAAATTCACTTTCGGGTAAAAAGATAATTTATAGTGGGATTCCGCAAGGCGGAGTTCTCTCGCCCTCTGATACGTTACGTAAGGCGTTACGTTCGAACAATGGCTAGCTCAGAAGGGATTCGTAAGTCATCTACCCGATGAATTAACAGCTATCTTGTCATAAATGGAGCACTTTCTTTAAACTTAAGCAAAAAGATTTATTTACACATAAAGACAAGTTAAAAGAATATAAAATATTTATCTAGCTACAATATCTATCTAGCCACATCATGCAAACATCGTGCTTAACTAACTAAACCGGAACTGTTCGTTTTTTTTCTGGCGTCCCATGACGTCAGTCTCTATCTGGCTTTTTATTCGCTGGCGTAGTGATGCCATTCCCAACACCCTCATTATTATCTCGCCTATTTCTATTGATGATTTACCAAACCCACTGGATTCTAAAGTCATGAAATAAGCGGATGATACCATGGTTTTAACAAGGTCAATGAATGCCAGACAACTGTCATGATAAAATTCACAGCTTCAGGTGATGATAAACATTAGGTTTGTCTTTAATTAAATTTAAAAGGGAAATGCCTATGGCCAAAAAGAAAGATTTGCGAAAACTCTAGTAACTGAGGCCAAATTGTGAAGGATGACGATGACGATGATTAGCTGACTTGCCTCCCTTTACGATGGATGACTAGCTCCACCACTGATGGCTACGCTGGCTCTTCAAGTACTAACTCTTCGAATTCCAAATTGAATCTGTATACACAGCAACTTTTGCAGTTACATCTCACCTTCAATTTCATCGCTAGACCGTCTAATGATCACTGAACTTTGTTCGCTACTTCATTATGCCTACTGGCTACCCTCTACATGAACTTATTTTATTTCACAGTACTCTATGCTATGCTTATCAAATGCTACGCACAACCTTGACAAGTTACATACAGGATAGGGTATTCACCCAGGTGCCTGAACGTGCGACTCCATCGCTTGATGAGAGGATGACACAGAGAATGCCAGGACCTCTAGTAGAAAGCTCGTTTTCGGGAAAATACTCCCCCGAGGATTAGAGGGCCGACCTTTCTCCTTCTTACTCCCCATGAATTGGTATGAATTGAGGTATCTATGAGTATATAGTCCTGGGGACTTTTACTCAGAAATTATTTACCCTGCGGGGTACTTCTTAGTTAGAAGTAAATCCACTTTATTTAAAGTGGAAAGTTTCTTTTGAAAACATCGTCGCATGGGTGTCGCCATCTATTGGAACATCAGGAAGTAACAAGAAGTAAAATTTTGAACTTAGTTTTCCTCTTCTGCGAAATCAAGAGCAATCTTCACTGCTAAGAAAGCGATAGAAAGTTTTTCTGTACTGGATTTAGCGGATTTAATATTAACTGCAACATCGTTCATATCTTGAATAAATTTGAAAACTTTAGGATTTGAAAAAACTTGGGATATTGGATTATCATTATCTGCTGGGATCTTCTGCTGTTTAAAGACGGCGCTGAATGGGATGTTTCTTTGAATTTCTTTAATTTCAGTTTCAGATTTAGATGCGAGTGCTGAGAAATCTTTAAGATTTGGAATCTCTTGGGTTTTCTCTGCAGGTTTAGGAGTTTGAAAACGCTTTTTATAAATCGGGCAACCACGGTAGGACGATACATGTTCCCCACGGCAAAAATAGCAGATGGGTTTTTCTTCACGTTTTAAAGAGCAAGTATTAGATCTGTGATTCTGGGAACATTTACAACATATTTCTTTTTTATAGCAATTCGCCTGTGAATGTCCATAGCTCTGACACTTGAAGCATTGAATTGGTCTTTTAGTTTTAGGTGCATATTTCTCAATAGTGATATTGAAGTTAAAAATATTATTTAAGTTGTAAATCGCTTCTCCTAATTTATTCCTTTCAAGTTCAATGAAGTATATGGGTAATTTTATGATATCACTTTCTATTCTCTTTGTGAACTGTTCAACTTTTAGTACTGGTAGTTTTCTAAGTTTTAGGTCTTCAAATATTGCAGTTTCTGAGATGCTTCTGGGCATATTTTTAGAATGACTTTAATGTTAGTTTTGGAATAAAGTTGATACGTATGGAATTCTATGCATGATTTCTTTAGAAATTCGATGGCGCTGTTGTAATCCTCTTCGATGGAAGTATTTAAATAAACTTTTTTGGCTTTCATCTGGGTTTCATATTCGTTTTTTAGGATTTTAGTACTTAAGATTTTCTGTAAAATCAATCCAATCTAATTCAACTTGCGGGAGGACTATTGGTGGGATTTTTATTTCAGATTTATGATTAGTTTTAACTTCAGTAGTTTCATTATTTTCTTCATCATTTAAAGGTTCGAATCTGTTGTTTTGTTCTATTTCTTCTTTTTCGCTAGGTTTTAGATTAGGTTTGCATGTTTTTGAGGGAATTGACCAATTTTGTTCTGAATTATTATCAGCTTCTGGAATTGTTAAATTGCTATAAACTTCTTTGATGGAGTCCACTAATTCTTCGTGTTCTTTCACATTTTCTGCGTAATCTTTCTCGTCCATCGATCCGGTGTCCATTAAGTTCGATTGTTCAATCATATGCTCTTGGGATTTATTTAAGATTTCAGTTAGGGCTCCGTTTCTGAGTATTTGATATCTGGGATCTTTATCTAATTCAGTTCCGAGTCCTTGAAATAAGTTAGGGAAAATATGTTTATACTTTTCCATGGTGTCGCGAAAATCTTGGGTTTTTGGAGTCGCAGTGCTGGGGGAGCTACTTTTCTTTATTCCTTTAGGCTGCTGCAATTTAGTTTCTAAGCTGGAGGGTTTTAAAAAATCTTTAAATTTTAACTTTCCGCTATTCTTAGATGAGTTGAAATAATCTGAGTCGTGATCCATGTCGCTGTCGCTTTCATGCCTATTCCAAAAACGATCTGGTGGTTTTTTGGCCGCCATGAGGAGAGAAAGCAATAATACTTACAGAGCAAATCAGGATGCGTGCGTCGCCCAGCGACGCTAACCTCTGAATGTGTTCACCCTCCCCTATTCTATTCTATTCTATTCCTTTCACAAAAATGGCCTTGGCTACTAAGAGCCTTAATCCATTCAGTTTGCGTCATGCTTTACAGCCGGTTAGTAGAAGAAATAGTGGTGTATGAACACCCGCACAGAGGCGAAAATTTACAGGATTTAATCCTGCAATTGTAGATGAAAAGGAGATAAGCAATTGGCATTGGAAGCAATTTAAAACGGCAATGATCTCAGATCTCCTGTAGTCAGTGCGGCATAACGGTCAGGTCAGAAAAGGCAGTCCTACTAGATCAGCATCCACTCCCTGAATGAGGGAGGAGCACTCAGAATTGTTAGCAGCAAGTAGAGAACCACGTGATGTGGATCAGCAAATCATAGAAGTTCTTTTTTACAAAATTCTAATTTGACCAGAGTGGTCACATGATGTATACAATTAAATGAAAACTTGAATAACAGAAAGTAAACTTGAATAAATGAATTCTTGGATAAATGGAAAAATATTTACACTATTTACATATTTACAATCACCATCTTGGATTGTGATGTATTGTACGCGGTCGTTTGACCGTGTATTCAATAGTAGGGTCATAATCAATGATGTTCTGAATAGCCTGGTATTCGCTATTCCTAACTTTTTCAAAGAAATTGTGGGATATAGTGAGAATGTGATCCATAAGATCAGGGATTTTAAGATCTTTTTGAATATCTTTATTCCTGGCAAACCAGGGCGCGTTTGTAATGAGATACATTCCGATGACATCAGAGATCATGTGACTTATGCGTAGCTAATGTAAACAAACAATGCAGATGACCTCAGAGATCACATGACTTATGTATAGCTAACGTAAACAGCAAGGTTATTCTTCCTCTTCTTCTCTTGCGGAATGTATCTCATTGATCGTAATATTTTGTTTTGCAAAATCCCGATCTTTTTCCTTTCATTCTTATTTCCGATGGCCCAAGCAGGGGCGGCATATGTTAGAATCGGTCGGATGAGAGAGGTATATAATACTTTTTTAGTGTGTAAATTAAGTTTAGAGTTTCGTCCAATAAGTGGATAAATAGCCATGTATGCAGAATTCCCCTTATTTGCTATGTACTGGAGGTGGTTTTTGAAGTTTAGTTGTTTATCAATATAGACACCCAGATATTTATATGCGTCACTATGCGGGATAGGAATGTTATTGATTTTAAGTTTCAGTGTTGACATTTTGCAGTTTCTTATACCTTCTGTAGAGAACAGTATTACATTTATGAGCGTTGAAATTAGTTTTCCAGATAGAACACCAGTGTGCAATATTATTAACGTACATTTGAAGATTATTTATGGCAAGTTGGGGTTTTATTGATTCTGAGAGGACTACTGCATCATCGGCATATTTGAGCACTTTGGAATTAGGTGGTTGTGGGAAGATCATTAATATAGATATTAAAAGTTTTGGGCTCAAAACACTACCTTGAGCGACGCCGCAAAACATCCTTTTCTTTTTTGAGAGGGTATTACCGATTCGGACTTGGAAAGTTCTGTTTTGTATAAAAGAGAAGATAATTTTGACTAAATTTTTGGGTATTTCTAGATCAATGAGCTTAAGAATTAGCCCAGCATGCCACACTCGATCAAATGCTTTCTCAAAATCGAGGTAGCATGCGGCAACTGCACTTTTTTTCTGAAAAGCAAGAGCAATGGTTTCAACAAGATTAAGGACTTGGTGTGTGGTCGAATGGCCTTTCTTGAATCCAAATTGTAGATTATCTATTATGTCATTATTTTCAAGGAAGTCAGTGAGTCTGTTGTTAAGAATTTTTTCATAAATTTTTCCCATAGCAGGCAAAAGGCTGATGGGTCGGTAGCTGTTGACATCCTTTGGATTTTTGCCCGGTTTGAGAATAAAAATAACTATTGAATGCTTCCATTGTTGAGGGAAATAAGACAGTCTGATACAACCATTAATAATATTACATAGATTAATTATACATTTATTAGGCAGAGCTTTAAGTGTTTCGTTATTAATTTGATCATAATCTTTCGCTTTTTTTTTTTGGCTTAAGATTTTTGATTATGTTTTTAATCTCCTTAGGAGAAGTAAACTGGATGTGCCTTTGAGGAGTGAAATTGCGTATGAAGTTGATTGCCTCGTTAGCTTCATCTTCTGTTTCCGAGTTGATAGAAGGGAGGGGTTTATAGATTTTTTCCTGTTCTTCGGCCATGAGGTCAGCAATGTCTTGATCCGAATAATATTTGGTTCCTGAGTGTTCTATTGCATGCTGGGTATAGCTGTTATTGTTTTTGAGGGAGCGTGCGATTTTCCAGACATTTTCGTGGTTCGGCTCCAAATTTTCGAGAAGGTGGTCCCATTTTTGAGTCCTGTACTCTTGAATATCAGACTTGATTTTACGATTTAGATAGTTAAGATGTCTTTTGTCATTAGGATTTCTTGACTGATGCCAGGTCTTAATAGCTTCGTTTCTGAAGCTTGATTGTGTTTTTGATCTGAGTAGGAAGGGTTTGTGATTTATTTTCTTTAACTGAGTACGTAGCGTTGGAAATAGCATTTTGGATAGTAGTAGTAAATTTATGAATTTCTTTTTCAATTGCATAGCTATGAGGATAATGGCTATTGCAGGTATAATTTTGAAGTAGATTGTTGACAAGATTCCAGTTGGTTTTGGTGAGTTGTTTTTTTAATGGGTGATAAAATCCATAGAAGTCAAAAGTGACTGGCAGGTGATCCGAATTTAAGTCATAAGTGACTTCCAAATGTGGAGTTTGGTTAATATTTTTAAGAAGTAATACATCTAGGATGTCTCCGGTGCCATCATGATGAATTCTTGTGGGGGTGAATGGAGCGACAATTTTAAGGTCTTGATTAAGGAGGTAGTTATTCAGGAAATTTCCATTAGTATTGTTAAATCTTGAGTTCCATGCTTGATTTTTAGCGTTGAGATCACCCGCAATTAAAGTTGGAAAATTGGCAGCAGTGAGATTGTTTAGATCAGTATCGTTAAGTCTATTGCCAGGGGGATTGTAAACTGAGATGAATAAATACGCTTCATTCAGTCCACTATAAATTATTGCAGCTGTTTTTTCGAATATTGCCTGTGTTAGGTATTTCATATTTAGCGAAACGGAGGTAATTTTTAATAATGATAGCAGTACCGCCACCTCTGTTGTGAATTCTGTCGTCGCGGATTGTCCGATATCCAGGGGAAGTTGATTCGATGTGATTTCCTTAGATGGGTTTCGTTGAGAAGCATTATGTCAATATTATGAGTGATGAGAAAGTTTTTAATTTCCTCTTTTTGCTTTTGAACTCCGTTTGCGTTGAAGAATGTGACTTTAAGAAAGCACTTGCTTGTGGCGATTATCTTATGTGCATTATTGAAGGGATTAGAAGTCATAATTTAGTGATGAAAAATATTCGATGGCTGCCATAACAACTTCGATTTTATTCATTATATTTTTAGCTTCTTTGAAACTGTTTAGAAATTCTTTAGCTTTTGCGAGCTGCAGTTTGATCCATTCACAGAAGGAGGGTGGCTCCGGATCTTGATTCTGAGTTGGAGGAGCGGATACAGCCGCTTGCGCACTGGTAGTTTGTGCTGTCGTTGGTAACGCGGGGAAATCATCTTGATTAAGTTGAAATGTCGGTTGCGGAGGTTGAGCTTTTTCTGTTTTACGGATTTCTACTGCTTTTTTGATGTTGTTTGGATGGAATTTGCATGATTTTGAAGAGCTTACATGGTCTAGACCACATAGGGCACATTTCGCTGAATGTAAATTTTTGTCTTGCTTACAGGTGTAGCCTTCATGAGGGCCTGCGCATTTTTGGCACCTGGGCTTGTAGTTGCATTTCTCTTTTATATGCCCATATCTTTGGCATCTATGACATTGAACAGGTCCTGGGCGGCTTTTGTAAGAGCATACCAAGACATCAAGTCCACGTAACGTTGTGATGTTGAAGATTTTTTTCCCCTCATTGTTTCTTTTTGTTTCGACGAGGAAGACAGGTAATTTGATTACTTTACCGTCT